GGTGTCGACAATGCCATGATGTTTTTCGATTCACCTGTGCTTTAGTATGATATATTGGGAGGGTGGGGGACAGCGATGCGGAGATAAATCTCGGGATTAATGCCAACCCCGGGGGGGTTAAATATCTGGGACAGAGGGCAATATAGCGGGGATTTAATGTGTAAATTGAAGTTCTATTATAATAGAGTAAACGGTTGGAGCGATTGAGATGTTTTGGGGTTGTCCTCCCCGCCACTTGACCTAAGTTGGATAAGTTATCCTCCTTGGAGCTACTTGCCGAAAGGAAGGTATCATACTTGGGGAAGTGATGTCTGATCTTACCTTGTTTGGCATTGTCTATTTCTCCGCTCCTCGCACAATCATTCTCTTGTTCTCCGAACCCTTTCTCTTGCAACACCGTGCAACCCCCACTTTAACCATTTCCGTTTTCCAACAGTTTGAACTGTGGGTTTAGATAGCATATACGGTATCATACAATACGGTGCAGTATGGTGACTTACCGGAAACTTTCCAGGTGGCGTTAGCTGTTCCCGTGTGAAAAAAGAAAAAGAAAAACGCTTTATATCTCAACGGGGACGAAAGAATTAGGAGAGGGCCTACACACAGCGGGCAAAGGAGAAAAGGAAATACCAACCTAGATTTTTCGATACACAGCCAACCCAGGATTGCGCATAAGGAGGTCGTAGATCAAACTGAGCCCCTCCTCAGGAGCATCCTCCGCACATGATCTCCGCTTATGCGACGAAAGCCCCATATTTAAGTCTTTTATCTAACTACGCTACGGGCGATGGGTGTCGGAGCTACACAGTCGGCTGCCGTGAGTTTCTGGAATTTATAGTGGCGAAGAAAAGCGGGTTTTTTTTGTGAAACCTCATGGATACCTTAGGACTCACTGCCCGCTTCAGGGGCCTCCCAGTTGATAATATCATACAGTATCATAATACGTAAATAACGTAATTTCTCCCACTAAAAAGCCCCTACTTTCCCCAGTAAAGCTAAAGATACAAAATGCCAAAGCAAAGAATATATTCCCCCCCTCCACTCTTGCTTAGGCACTCTTATCGCAACCCTGTGCTCCAACTTCCACTTTCTTACAAGGCCCTACTCTCCACGGAACACCAATCTTACTCCGATATTCACATAGCCATGAATCTGGCAAACCTTGTGCGAATACTACAAAGTTCGATGCCAACAAGAGCGATAACGTTCAAGCGAGAGTTCCGCAAGGACGTACTGGCTCTTTTTTCTTTTTTCTTGGGGGGTGCCTACCGATCATGACGAAAGCTGTACCGTATGTCCTTCCGTGATATCAAGAGGTTTGCTCTTCTGGACTAGTTAGAAGGGCCGGGGCTCCCTCCCTCCCACATCATACTAGCACTTACCATGGCCGGAAGACACGTCAACGGGACACCCCCGTCCAGGAAAAAAAACCAATTTATCTTGCCTTCCTCACTGACAATAAACGGGACTATCACTATACCCTTCGATTCGTAGATATAACTAGTACAGACTTTGGCAACTTCTATGGAATAAGCCGCCGTAGCCCCCAAGAGCACCGGACACCCAACTCCTCCGCAATTATTGTTAGTTTCCAGGATCTCGCGCTTTATCACCTGAGATCAACGCATCGTCTTTGTTTAGATCCCCGCTGATGTCACGGATGCCCATAGGTTCGCTGCGCTCTATAGCGCCCTGCTGGTACTTGCAGCTAAAATAGCCATCTGAACCAAACCGCATGGAAGAAAAGTGTCGAGCGCTCATATAGCAACCCTGGTGTCTGGAATATGGAGCTCGAATGCTATATCCCTTCGTCCGTATGCTAAAATTTATGGAATTTTAGCTCAAAGGCTAGAGGGATACTCGGTCGAAGGCGTATAGCTAGGGTTTTCTCCTGATTACCCTGCTAGGAGAAGTTTCCAACCCCGAGGATCTAGGGGTGTTTGCTCGGATAGGAGGTAGCATTGTCCTTTTAGCTAGAAGGGGGTCTTAATAGTAGTTCCGTTAGTACAAACGAAGGGGGGGGGGGGGTTCAGCATGATGCAGAGAGACGCAACCGCCTGCGGACAGCCTTGATAGCTCGCCGGACGAACAGCCCAAACATTTTTGTCGGCTACTTTTTAGTTTGAGTGAATTTATCAAGTCAGTCTTCCATAACCTAGCCAGCCAGAGAGATAATGTAACATTAAGCGGGCTCACGTTGCCATTGGTTTTCGTGTGCTCGGACAGTTAAATCGCTGCTCAAATGGCGGGGGTTGAAGAGACTTCTTCAACTCTCAACGATATGCAGGAGACACTGGTAAATTAGCTCCAGGATAGAATCTTACTTCTTCCTTCCAAGATGTTTTTAAGCTCAAGTTGGTTACGGTGAATGCTAGCCATTCATATGGCGTACCCCACTCCTGCGGCAGCATTCACTCTGCCTGATTCCTGACAGGTATCATACCTACCCATCCCGTTGGTGGAGGGCTTGGCCCCCTCTTTCATTCGCACCAGAGGCGCCCATATCAATATTTATATCATAGTACTATATGGCGGAAGAATAGCAGAGATGTGGCGAGTGCTTAAAACAATGTGTGGCTGGAGGCCACAGCTTCGTAGACTTATAAGTAGGGAGCAACCCCCAGATTTGAACCAGAAGCATCATAGTATCATACTCTGCGCTCATTCTCTAAAACAACCCGGTGAGCTTTCCCAACACCCCACCACCCGCCCCGCTTGAGTACTAAAGACTATAACTTGCTGACTTCGCTTGTGCCTCAGGGGCTCCATTTCACAAACTCTCTGACCAACCCCGCGGCATCTATCACAACCGCCATGAATACCAGCATGCCTCCCTTGTCCATTCTGAGATCACTGCTAACTGGATGGTATACCTATCAGTTCGGATCCTAGCTTGTCACCATGTCGGCCACCTCATCACCGGGGGGTTTACCCTGGCTGCGGCTGGTGTTGTCCTTTTGGACAACCATGTAGGACGTCAAGAGACAATCAACATCATCAACACAAGATTTAACAATGTCGAGACAAAAATCGACAATGTCAAGACAAAAATCAACAATGTCGAGACAAAAATCAACAATGTCGAGACAAAAATCGACAGTGTCGAGGCAAAAACCAACAATGTCGAGACAAAAATCAACAATGTCGAGACAAAAATCGACAATGTCGAGGCAAAAACCAACAATGTCGAGACAAAAATCAACAATGTCGAGACAAAAAGCGATGATGTCAAGACCCAGCTGAGCAATGTCGAAGCGGCCCTCCGAGCCGATATCAAGGACCTAGGAGTAAAAGTCCAAAACACCCGGTCCATGGTTCTAGAAAGCGGACACCACATTACGAAGGCACCAGACGGTGATAAAAGCCCAAAGAGAGAGTGGCTTGAGCAGCTGGAGCTCTGCGAGGGGTCTAATAATGAAGACTGTGGTTCCTCCCGAAAGGCTTGAGAGTAAGTATGATACCTGTTTTGAGAATCGCCGATTTCACATTGCCACAGTTCAGGCAATATCGAACTGTACACTTCGAAAAATTAAATACCGGGCTTAAAATAGCCAAAATCACTATTGTGTGGAGAATTGACTTGCTTCCACAATCGGTGGTTGAGTTCTGATGCTGTGGAAAAAAGAAATTCGCATTTTCGGCGTAAAAGTGGCCATCAACGATGTCCCCTGTCACCCTATCCCCACGCCTGCGGAGATCTCCAACAGCCGGCTAGAAAACCCAACGAGTGATAATAGGTGACCAAAAGTTGTTTCGACTCTAATATAAATTCCCCCCGGCGAAAGGAGCCAACCTTCCCCTTTACCGGCTTCTTCCGATCCGGCTGGAATACCATCGTTGCTAGATTCACACATATCTAAAATCCCCAGAGCTCGTCTCCGAGAAACCAGCGTTTCCCTCGCGGCCGCCACCCAATGGCTGCTTCTTTAACCTTGATATGGCGGTAGTCACACCGAGCATGAGTGCCTCTGTCGGCAAGGGCGGGTACAGAACATATCTTATCCATGAAACTTTCTCCTTTTCCATGCTCTCCCTTGTGCTCGGGACGAAGGGAATCCCGCTCGGAAGTATGGACGGCATATTTGGCTCAAGTCAGTCGATAGGAAGGGTTCGGGTACCGAGAATGGGACTTCCAACACTACCAGTGACAATATTTATCAGATATAACTCACGTTGAGAACAAGTAGCCTTATGCGTTGTTTCATGCCTTTCACGATCCGGAACCCAAAGACCGAAACCAAACCATTGCAAGAAAAGCCCCTCTCCGGGTTGGCAGTTTCCGTTTCTAAACCTCGATTACAATTCGCAAAAGAAATAACCAGGTGCTGGGGGAACCCCCCCTCCTGATAATCCTGGACTGCCTTGCTCCGGTTTTAGACCTGATACCGGAACACAGGTGCAATCACATCTATCCTCCGCCCAGCGAAAGATTCAGCTATCGTGACAAGCATGTCAATATATGAGAATAGTCGCAGTTTCGGAGGCTGTGTGAACTCTCGAAACCAGAAATTTTGGGGATGCGTTTTACAGGAGCTTCCATACACACTCTAGGGGCTTAAACCCAATTTCCAGCGATCCGTAGCAGCAGCCTCCCGGGTCCATCAATAGTGTGTAATGAAATATAGGTCCGTAGGTTCCCGACCACCCGAACGTATAATAAGCATATCGCAGCTATCTTAAAACCACCACTGCTCGAGTAAGGTACAACAAGACAGCGCACGCAAGCCGCGACGAACGGCTCCGACGGACAGCTGGTTCCGGATCCGAACCGTAGCTCGTGCTGTGGAAAGGGGACGGATAAACTTGTTTTCGGAGGTTAGGTTGGTCAAGGAATACGACAAGGAAGTTAAATTAAATCTTAGCTGTCTGGGGAGAGGTGAGGTTGGGAAATGCTAGTCAAAGGTAAGATGGCGGGTAAGTCAGCGGTGGGATGGGTTGGGGCGAATGCCGTATCGTACGGTGTGAATGGAGAAGTTGACTATCTACAAATAGTACGATAGTTAAAAAATAGAATAATTTACGACAAGACTAGAGTGAGTGACAATTGCAAACCCACACCTCATCTAAACAAGTCTCAATGTCCCCTCAACCTCCTCGATCCCGACGCTCCTCTTCTCATCTAGACTTATCCTCCCCGCGTGCAATATCGCCCCCGTAACAACAGTATTCCTAAGCGTGGACAGGCCACGCCTGTCCAGCTCCGCAAGTGTGATGCGACCCTCGTTCAGCGCTGCACACGCGTCCACAAACTTCTCGAATGAAATATAGCCATAGCCGGTCTGCCCGCCAAAGTTCCCTTCCTCGTCGGGCGCGTAGCGCATGTAGAATGGGTTATACCAGGTCAGGCCGTCCTGGTCGTCTGTCACATCATAGCTACGCTTAGATTGGTTGGCGCGGATTTCGCCTTTGGAGGCCATGTCTTTTACAAGTTAGCTTTTTTCAAAGTTCTGCTGTAGGGGGGCAACTGGGGGGGGGTTACAGTGGAAGTATTGGTTTGAATGAACGCCAGCCTTTTGAGGGGCAGTCCAACATGCGATGTATACTCCTGTGGCAGTCTTCGATGGGTCATCCTTCTTCACCCAATCTGTCAAGAGTGTGATTGTGTCTTCGGTTCCTCCGACACACCCCAACCCCGTTGCGCAACCAGTGCTCCCCGAGGCAGTGACTTTAAAAGGCCGGTATCCCGGAACCATGCTCTCATTGATATCGATATGATGCGAATTCAGATAGTACGAGATATCGCTCTCCTTCCCAGCCCACGCCCTGAAGGTCTCCAGCTGCGACTTGGGCTGCGACATGTAACTGTAAAAGTAATTAAAGTCACCGAGATTCTTGGCTTTAGCCCTCGCATCGGAGTACACAGGATCGAAGCGTTTGTGGTGCTCCACGTAAACGAACACCTTTGCCTTCTCGGCCTCCTCGATGAGGGCGAGGTGGTCCTCCAGCGTTTTCGTCGCCGGCTTGGTGATGAGGACGTGTATCCCTTTCCGGATTGCGTAGAGCGCGATGGGGAAGTGCGTTGTGTCCGGGGTAAAGATGGTAATTGCGTCACCGGGAGAGAGGGCGTCGATTGCGGTTTTGTAACTGTCCGGGTCCACGGCGTCATCGGCGGGGAAGGAGTTGAACGAGACGTCGAGATTGTTGTAGACGCTTTTGATGTTTTTTTCCAAGTGATTGCCTACCGAGTGTCAATTTCTGTGGGGTAGGAGAGAGGAATTGAAGGGGTAGAGTACGGATATCGGGGTATTTTTTCCCGTTCACGCCAACCATGCTAAGCTCCCCGACTTTTCCGCGACGGCGGAGGTCAAAGAGGGTGAGACCCACTACGCCTACCTGCAAGAAATGTCAGAGTTGGAGATGTGTGAGATGACAGGTGATGATATCATGGCACCTTCTTGTCGGATGTAGACCCCCCGGTGCCAACCCAGCCGGTAGTGTACTCTCCAGTTCCAACCTGTTTGCTCAATCATTAGCTCTTAGCCCTCATCACCATCAGTCAAGCAAAGATTAAAGCAAACCATCAAAACGTTAACCAGGCCCATGATTGCTAATCCCAACTTCGGTCTGACCCCAATTATTGAGAGATGATAGTAACGTTGATAACGGTGGAGAGCTCAAGCGGGGAAATGAAGCTTATATGCGATACAGGTACGTAGTACCCAGTACGACACTTGCAATGGGGTGACGTTTGCGAACACGACTGCCGTTGCATAGGCCGCCTCCAAGTTTCGGCTTCCTCTCCTTGGATCCGTGTGCTATGCAATAGCAGTCGCGCTCACAAACTTCACCCCAATCGCGAGCACAGTATGTACCCGCCTATCATCCCACACGCAGCCCATCATTTGAGGGTTTGTGCAGAGGAACTTAGATGGTATTAACATGAGCTAATGACAAGGCTTGGCGACCTTGTAAGGGTACCATTTGACCTGCAAACGTTCCCCTCAAGCACAATCCCAAAAGAAGTAGACTACTCGAGTACTCGAGTAGTTTCACGATATGATACCGTTCCTGTGTGATACTAGATAATTGGCTACTCTCGTATGACCTTTTGAGAGGTCCAAGTTCAAGAAGTTCGGCACTTGCCGGAGTTTGGAGGTCAACTTCCGGCGACAACTACTGATACTCGTAGTTCCCGCCTAGGTCAGTCTGCACAAACCCCTGATGCGGCTCGATGACTTTTCTCCCTTTCGGGTCATCTACCAGTAATCCAATTCTTAGCAACCCGCCGCCCGTCCTTTTACCCCGGGACCCTGTTGATTGAGGAGAGACGGAACCTGGCAGCTTGCTTGGTTTTGGGCTCGCGCGTTAGAGCTTGAAGGAGCGGGATAATTGCGGTAGTCTACCAAGTAACCCATGACACGAGTACTGTACCTGTCAGAGGCCTGGGCGTGACTGATGGTGACCCACGTAGACCTTCATCGTCCTATCGCGTTGATTATCCATCACTGATTCTGTGACATTCTGGGTGGAGATACCGGGAGTATCTAGGGAGGAGGAAGCGACACAAGACAAGCGCTACCCGAGTACCGGTAGTCGCCAACAATTGATTCTTGCCTTTCTTCCCACTTCTCTACCAGTACCGGTATCTTTCTCTATACGAGGCCGATATATAATTTTGTCATACTCGAGCGCCGGCACCATTAGTCTATGCACCCGCCCGCTGTGATCGTCCTGTCGTGTCACCGAGCCAAGAATTGGTATCCGTTTTGCCCCTCCACTGGCTTAAGCTGTGCGCGGATTTCGCTATTTAACGCGGTTAATGGCCCTAGGTTAAGTCAAGATCCTTTCCAGATGTACTCGAGTACCGGTGGTATGTCCGAGGAGCTCTTACAGTAATTTACTGCTAAGTGACCGGTACGGTGGACAATATTTTACACCATTGCCACACTTGGACCATTACCAATCTCGAAACATTCTACAGTACTGTACTGTACAAGTATCATACTCGTAGGGAACCAAAAATGTACCATACAAGTACTGATGCTCGACCACCATGCCATAATAACACACGTGCAGCTATCACAAGCAAGGGCTTGGCGCAGAGAAACGAATACAAGCAGAAAGTCCATGCGCGAACAGAAATATCGCTTAAATACTGTCGCGCGTTGAGCCCCGAGTCCCTCTCCTCCTCCACCCATCTTCCCACCCTTCTATTCTCCATCCCACCAGAAATACCGGTACTCGGCATGACTACCCCTCAACCGGCCGATTCCTCTGAGGCCCCTTTCGGTTATACCAATCTAGGACAACCCCGCAGGCGTCCCCTTTCCGGTAGGGAAGGCTTCTGTCCCGTTCGGGAGTGTCAACGCAATTTCAGACACCGGTATGTATTCCCCCCCTTTTTTTCTTTTCCGAACGGAAATTCTAATCCCATTGATAGCCTCAATCCTAGGCAAGCCATCTGGCAGCATTTGGCCCACTACCTAAACCCCACGTGCGCGGAGGGGTTACCCTCCTCCCCTTTCAGACAAGCACATGCCAAAATGCACGAACAAATGAAAGCAGAATTGGCAAGCTCGAGGCTCACAGGCAAGTACCGGCGGTAATGCATCCCCGAGGGAAAGCTTCTCTAATCTGACTCGGGATGTTGCCAGAGAGCGAGAGAAAGGAGCGGCAGAAGGAAAGTAAAAAGAAATGGGTGGAGAAGAATACGGAAAAAAGAGCACTCTCTTTGAAAAAGTCGAATCTTAGAAAGAAAGCGAAGAAAGAGTTGAAGAAGGAAGGAAAGGATTTGACGGAACAGGCTATCGGGGAACTGGTGGAAAAATGGCACGCAGCAGGAACAGCGAACTAGAAAATTGAAATCCTCACCAAAACAGCACGAGGCAAGAATGGGAGATCAATCATTTGCTCTATCATCTCGTGAGAAGCTGGTATCATAGATAAAAAATTGAATAAACAACCTTACCCCCTGCGGGCGCGGTGCAGTACCAGTAGCCCCCTGAGCCAGAAGACTATCGCAATGGCAATGAAATCTGCGAATTTGGCACATAAATTTACACGTATACATGGTTCTGGCTAGGATGGGTTTTGCTAACAGTGAAGCAAACCAAAGCCAGCTTGTTCCAAAGTGCAATTTAATAAATAGCTATCGTACTCGTCATGGTACCGTACCATGATTGACTCCCGCAAGCTACATACCGCACGGTTCCGAGCTATCCGCCGCCCGACGCCGAAAGACAACACAAAGAAGGCGCATCACCCAAATTATAGATAACCTCTACCGGTATCTAGGCGACCAACTGTTGGTCCCGCGAACGGGTCTGCTGTGAAGAAGCCCCGCGAAGGGGGGGGGGGCAAGAACGGGTATCATACCGGGGGTACTGTACTTGTACCGATCGCGATCAAAGGGCTTGCGGCTCTTATTCACATATCACTAACCTGGCGCCATGTTCTTTTTCCCGCAAACGACGTTCCCCCCCCCCCAAACCGATCGATCAGGTTTTGAGAAGCTGGCTGCGTTATTCTTTGGGGGTTGAAGGGAGAAAGAGGAAAAGCCTTCCCGGGGTTTTTGGCAAGTGAGGAATTCTCACAAGGTTTTTTCCGTGCAATTTATCGCTAGCTTCAAATATACCGGTAACTTATCCCACCGACGAGATAAATCCGATCACATTTCAAATACGGGTACTTTTTTTGCTGATGGCTCACCAAGCCAAGGTGGTAACTTATATCATATTTGATTATAGACTAATAAGACCCTAAAGCCTTTCCGTCCCCACGCGTACAGTACAGTACGGTACTTCGTGCGGGGATCAACTTTCCATCAGTTAGTCACCGACCCGCCCGCGAAATCAACAACCTCCCTTTGATAAAGCCCGTCTTCGGGAAGAATCCGAATCGGTGACCGGCTCGGGCTCGAGCGGCGGAACGTCATGTCGTTTTCTCGGACCGACCGACCCGCGCCTGATCGAGCGAGCGCTTGCGCAGAGCAGTCTAAATTATCATAGGAAGAGTGAGTTCCAGTGAAATAAACGGCTCGACGGAGCACATTGATAGATAATTCTCGCAAGTTCTAACCGGCCGAACGCTTCCCCGTACGATACACCCCCCCTCCTCCCTGCATTCCTGCCTCCATTGTAAGAGTAGCTGCTAGGAGGAAGGGCTCCGGCAGGTGGGCTTTCCATGATATGATTAATGCTCCGGAAGCGAGAGATGTTTGCACTGCCCTTCTTGACAGCGGGGAGGGTTTGGAATCCCCCCCCTTCCCCCTCTCCGAGCGCGAAGTGTATCGTACTGTACGGTCCCGGACGGTTTGCTACGAGATAGAGAGCAATTGGGTTATGTATGATACCGGGAATAGAATTTCAGAGGTCGGAAGTCATCGACCGTGCCGTCGGATGATGACTGCTATGTTTTCATACATGGAAAATTATGAGTCACGTTGAGCAGTGTGGAGCGGAACAATTTGTCAATTCTAGTGCTTAATGCTTCCTACACCAAAGAAAATGATTCCTCTTGGGATGTTTATACTTCTTCCCGGACGGGAATGAGCTGTCGGTCCTTATACACAGCCAATGGCTTGGGTTTTTCGTCACTCTACTCAAGTATGATACTTTGGGGTTCCAGCTTCTTTGTTCGGTAGTTAATCTGTTTTATTATATTATAGTGCGAGTGCCCGGCACAAATGGAGTAAATGGAGGATACAAGTAGGAAAGAGGGTGGGAAGGAGGGAACCAAACTACGCTAAATAATATTATGATAAAAATAAGGTCGAGGCGCCGTAGGTATGACATGATAATATAACATAACGCCGCCCAGAGAGCACAGTAGTCCACCAGTGATGACAAGATCCATAGCCAACCAAACCACCGCCCCCATGCGAAGAAAGGACACCTCTACCCGCGAGACTTCGCGCGCTTCCGCCGGTGCCCGCGTACTTCAATTACCTGCCCTGCACGCACCAAACCCATTAGCATAATCTAGAGTACACAGGATTTGGATTTTATCAAGGTGCTCACGTTTCCCACGCGAATACTTCTCCATCGCCCTCTTCAGCACCAACCTATTCTGCGCCGCCACCAAACCCCTCGACGAGATCCCCGCGTTATTCTTCATCTCAACATCCACGTTCTCCCTGGAGAGCAACAAGAGCACGAGGTCCTCCCTGTCGCCCTTCTGGATGGCGATGTGCAAGGGCGTGTCCCCGCTCTCGTCGGTGGAGTTGACGTCGAACCTCCCATCTTCGAGGAGCAAGCGTAACGCCGGGAACTGACCGCTCCCGACCGCGGCGTGGAGCGGGTTTCCACAGGCACCCTGGTGCTGCGTGGGGGCCAATCGCTCGTCTTCCAGGAAGAACCTAATGAGTCTACAGTCGCCGAGCATCACCGCGAGGTACAGGGGTGTCTGGCCCAAGTTGTCGCGGACGTTAAGGTCGATTTTTGGATGTGCCAGCAGCATTCTGAGTAGTTGCTCGCCACCGAAATCTGCAGCTGCGTGGAGCGGTGTTTGGATGTCGGCGTCCGAGCAGTTCACGTCGACCCTCGGGTCCGCCAGTAGGACTCTCGTTATGTCCTCCGAACGGTCGACACTGCGCACGGCGCGGTATAGCGGTGTGCAGTCGTCCGCGAGACCGGACTTGTTGACGTCGATCTCCTTCCGCGCGAGCAGGACTTGAATCGACGCCATTTGGCGATACTCGACGGCCAAGTACAGGAGCGTGACGCCCTCGTAGAGACACCTGTTAACGTCCACGTCGCTGGTGTCCAACATGATCTCCAGAGCCTTCGCCTTCCCGTGCGTCACCGCGTATCTCAGCGGCAACTCCCCCACGCTCGCCTGCTCTTTCATCGGATACACCGTCGGGTCTACCCCGCATTCGAGGAGTATTCGCAGCGCGTCGTTGCACTTCCGTCGCCTCAGAAAGCGTATCAGGAGTTTTGCGGGGTCCGCCACCTTCAGGATTCCCTTGGAAACGACTAACTTCACAAGCTCCTTGTCGCCTCTTTGCGCGGCCGAGTAGAGGAGGTTGCGGGAGCGGTTCTCGTACTCGCCGCAACAGCCCTGACTCTTGTCGCACGCCGTGCTGAGGAGAGAGTCGTAAAGGAGGTGGAATAGTGCGCGGTTGGCTCGGAGGAAGGTGTATAAGTCTACTGGGTCCAGATTTTGGGAGATCTGAAGGACGAGCTCGTTTGGGAGGTGGAGTAGTGACATGGCGGCTTTCTCATGGTGCGGTATGAGGAGGTGGAGCTGTGATGAAGCTTTCATGGTGTTGGATCTCTTCTAGCCTCGCGGGAAAGGGGGGGCGTTGGAGCTCGATGACCTACGCAGTATGCATTCTTATATTTCGGGTTCGCGAGTCCAAAGGTTCCCGAAGGTTTTCGCGCTTGGACCTGCTGTAACCCGCTTTTGGGCGCCAAGGGCCCAAGATCTTGGTGTCACACAATCTGTGGGCCTGGCCTTACAGTAACTTAAATACCTGTACCGGTACAATTGCCATACCATACTCGTACACGATCTCGTAATATCCACCCATGGTCAGAGAGATTCTGCCGACATTGCCTCCAAGTCTGTTCCAAAATCAGGCCCATGAACCCAGTAACACTTTTTAATGGGCATCACTAACTTGGCGCTTAAAGTCCAAGACTCCGGCTTACGGAGCCTCGCTAATGACTCAGCATTCAAGCTCCCGACTGAGACGTTTTACTGTAGCTGCCACGTTTGCCAATTCCGCATACCAGTACTGACTGAACCCCGCAGTCAATTGTAGTACTCGAGCACGATACCGTAACTTGTTTAGCGGTATCAGAATGATGATTCCCACGGGCCCCATTCCTTTCGCTCCACAATACCGGCACTCCGGGCGCGCGTACCACAATAACCGCTTCAGGTCGAACCTCTGTATCGCGTGCGTACCGGTAGGCTGGAATCTCAGCTCCATGTGACAGTGTGAGTTTACAAGTATCATAGCTAGCTGAACCAATGAGTATTGATAAACTACCGTACAAGCGTACCAGCAACATTAAAGCACAAACTACCGAAGCTCGCAAGCGAGCAGCCTCAATGCGCATTACTCATCACCGCGTCCAACCAAGGAGACAGCGACACTATACCGTAACGACGAGTCTATCCCCACTCTCATCTTCCCCCCACTTCCCCTCTGGAGGCGAAAAATTCCTCTTCAGCCTACCCCAGCTCTCCGTGTTATAATCCTCCTGGATCTTCCTACAAGTCCTCAACCCCCACTCCGTCACACCCACCATGAAACAACTCTCAAACATGAACGCCATTGCACCCTCTCCCACCTTTGTCGGTTTCAGTGGATCCTCAGAAGCCTTCTCGTGGGTCCCGGCATCGGGACCGTGGCCGGCTGCAATGTTATGAAGACTTGCACCGCCGGGTTTAAATCCGCCGGATGTCTTACCATCGTAAAGGCCGGATAGCAACCCCATAAACTCGCTCATGTTGTTTCTGTGGAACCATGGCGGGCGGAAGGTGTCTTCCGCAACCGACCACCTGGGCGGGAAAATGGCAAAGTCGACGATTGCAGTCCCCGGAGTTGAGGAATGCGCTGTCAGCACTGTGAAAACCGAAGGATCGGGGTGATCGTATGAGATGGAGCCGATGGTATTAAACCTTCCCAGGTCGTACTTCATAGGATAGTAGGTACCATGCCAGGCTACTACGTCGAAAGGAGTGTGAGGTTGAGTCGCTGTAAAAAGCCCCCCATTGAATTTACAGGTGATGGTATAAGAGTTTGGGGGGTCTGGTGGGGTACTGATGAAGGTTGCGATTGGAACCTGAAAGTCTCGCGGGTTAGCGAGACAATTGCTACCGATCGGACCGAGCTCGGGGAGCTCAAAGTGACCAGTTGTGGAGATCTCGAGAACATAGCCCCGGATAGGTCCGGCGGGAAGGGATACCCGGAAACGGATACCTCGGGGGAGAATCAGTATCTCATTCGGGCGGATATATAATCTAAGCACGTAAGCATTCGGTACCCCGTGGATTTTCATCACCACTCACCGTCCAAGCTCCGTCTGGACGTCCATTTCTCCATCCTGCAACACAATCAACCAGTCACCATCCGCGTTGTAAAACGCACCCCTCCTATCCATATCCTTCCCAGCAGCGAAAGCATAGATCCCAAGGCCATTTCTAATGGACGCATTCCCGGCACCAGCAATCATATGTAGCCCCTGGATGAAATCCGCCGACTCGTCAAGGTCGAAAGGATCCCATCGGAGTTGGTTAGGAATCTGGTGGAACTGGTACATCGAGGGGGCCGGGCAGCCCCCATAAGCCGCTGAGACGGGGATGAAGGGGGTATGTGAAGCGGCGGGGAGGATTCGGTACAGCCATGTTTGCTTGTTAGTTGCACGCGGAGCCGTAAATGCCGTACCTGAGAGTTTCTCCGTGTAGAGCCCGTAGGGAGGTTTTTGTGGAGAATTTTGTGCAATCGGAAGGGCGCCAGGTATGGCCTCGGTCCTGCCAAGTTTAGCCATTTGGACTCAGTTCCTGGGTGGGGGGAGCCTACTCGTGATAAGAATTGAAGCCGTTAAGGTACTTGTAAGGATCGGGTGTCTTGAATGCAGTGAAAGGCATGTTTGCTTCTGGTTTTCTTATTGGTGGGGGGGAGGATGGGTTAAATGGATGGGCTCAATCGGAAAGTTGTATAACGAGAGCCAAACGGAGTGGAGATAAGGGGGAAGGGGGGGTGGGGTTGTAGATAAAACGATTACCAAGGCATTGCTGAGCACTTCACGATAATCTAGGACGTTCGAATACCGGTAGCCGATGATAGCCGTTGTTTAGACTAGCGTAAGTATACAAGAAATACAAGAGAAATGTGCTGTGCTGTGCCGTTGAAATCCCGCCCCCGTGGGATGCGGATGCGGGTATCGTAGGCAAACCACCGCAAACTCTATCCTCAGCTGAGAGGAGAAAAAAGAAAAAAACCCCGCGCCTTACCACAAGAAGCAATTACAACGTCCTACAGTCACGCCCCCCCCCCCCATACTTGTACTGATGAAAGGAATGAAAAAAAAAAAAACTGCTATCAAGAACGGAAAGGAATAACTCGGGGTTTGAATGCCTCAAACAAAGCCACCCACATCAAGGGGCAATGCTGGCTGACAGATTCGAATTGATTTTCCAGATGTTTAATCCCGGCCCCCATACAAATTTAATCTGCCATAATGAATACGGTAACTCTCAACTAAATCAGGGTTCATAGGTTTAACATCAGTTTTGCCCTTTTCCCTTTTCCCTTTTCCCTTTTGGACTTGGTCTCTCCGAGCTCTTAGATGTCCGGGAAGGCTTGGCACTGCTAATGGGTGCCCGTACGTCATATCGCGTTGGGATCGAAGGAATTTTTGCTAAACCTTTCCGGACTGATGTACTGTACTGTACTCGTAGTTGGCGCTGCTCCGTACTCTACTGGGGCAAGTTAATTTGATATTCCATCATCCTTCCTCCACCAACCCGCTCCCTGTTCGGAGATACGCGCCGTTACGAACAAAAAATTCCTAATGTTTGCCGTCCATTGTACTCGTACTCGTACTGGGGTGCGAATGTGGTCTATCTTCTGATTTGACCCCATTGCTGTGTGTTTGCGTTGCATGATATGCCCATGACCCTGCAGCATCATAAGTTATCACTTGCTGATCTTTGGTGACATACTTAATTTAGCCACCCCCTAGCCCTCGCTGCGCGTGATTTCCTACCACTCAGCCCGATTTCGGGTATGATGGTATGGCCGGACTACGAGTATCTGGAAGCTGATAAGGTCCCCTTATTTCGCCAAGCGAGAAAGCATCGCGGGTCCAGGCTCTTAACTGTTTCAGTGTCACATGCCATTCCCTCCTACTCAAGCCACTTGGACAATGTCGGGAATCGGTGCGGTACAAATCAGAGCTCTTTGATAGGAGGTCATGGTTTATAATGATCTGCATGTCGTGTTGTCTTGGGTCGATGGTGATCATGGAAGAGGGCTTTGGGAACCCGCTCATAGGTAAGATTTCCATCGCTTACCCGGCTTTTCGCAGGCGTGTGTGCGCTCAGACCAATCGGATTGGGGACCACTTTTTTTCCGTCGGGGCTTTTGCGACCAACTCGTGATGTGTAATTTACTCGACGTTGCGAACGCGACTGCTATTGCATACTACCAAAATCTTGGGGCTCCGGGCAATTTTTTGCTCATGTGAAATAGTAGCTGTGTTCACAACCGTCAGGGAGTTACGAGTAAGCCTTCCTGGGAAAAGCGATTGCGATGGGGATTTTTGCGGTGGTATCTACCAAACTTTTCATCCGCACAATATGATACTAAAAATTAGTCCTTGCGCTGCTTCCTCGACGAGCTGCCTTTCCTGGCAAGATGTGTGGCATTTCTCTGTTGTTCGTCTCGGCGGAGGGCTGGGGATCGGTTTTCCGAGTTGTTTCCCCCCCACAATCCAAAGGGAGTGTGCGAACTATGGATGCCTTATTTATCGTGAGCTCTAATTATTTCACTTTTGTGGTGCACCAAAACAAGTGAAATTCCGACTCAACTTGATTAACATGAGAAAGCAAATATTAGATATAGAGGAGCGCGGAGGAATCCTAGTGGTTCTCCCATAGTTTGAATTAATTCTCGATCTTGCGCATCAGGTTGCATTTTGGCATTCATGCGGTGTACTCGAGTATATTTTCACTTTTCACGGACTGATGTACTTGGTTGATGGTGACATCACTCGGTTAACCTTCCACCAAAGCGTGGAGTAGTATTGTGAGTTCCGGATCGGCAGCAAGGACTTCCTATGGGCTTCCTTTGGGCTTCCCGGATAGGGTGGCTCGCCTTACTGCACGAGCACTCGTGCAGTAGCGAGAACAGAATCCTCGCCATCGGGATATAATATAGGACACGTTCTTCCCTCCTGGGATACCCGCTACAGCCACGCCCTGAAATCCTATAGCTTTCATTCAACATATTCTTGTCGTTTCACCGAAGCCAGACTTTAACCATAAAAAGCCCAATATCCCACACCTAAATCATCATACTATCTCGAGATGAGTTCTCAATCATCAGCGTACAGTCCACCACGCACTCACACTCCAGATATCGGGTCTGGGGGGTCGGCGAGTGGGGAAAGGGAGCGATCGGCCTTTTCGAGACTGAAGAGAAAGTGGCTATCTTGCTTCATCGGAATGGAACCACGATCTCCGGAAGTCATAACACAGCCAGACGTACCGCCTGCCTGCATCCTACGGATGCCCGACCTCCCAGAAGTGTCCGAAAACTCGGATGTGCTTCATAATACAAACCTGCCCGAACATATACAAATTCCCGACGCTCTACAGGCGCGCGACAACATTCACATGCCCAACGACGCGCAGGTTCCTGACAATCAGCATATAGTCAACCTGCCTGACATGTCCGGCGGCGACTCACCGGTAGCTGACTGCCCATGCGAGTAGAATCCATCGCCACTGTGCACAAGCACGGGTCGCATGGGCGCGCCGGAAACCCCACCCGTAGCTGGTACTGGATACCCTTCACAGTTACCCCCAAGGCTAGGTGATAAGGGAAGAGTTTGCGAATTGAGGAAGTGAGGAGAGAGAAGGAAAGCACTACTGGGTAAGGGAGTGCGGATTGGTATGGGCGAGTGAGATGGAGGATGATGCTGGCCGGCAGGGGGGAAACATGTAGTTATAGGCATGAAGCGAATATTGAAGATTCTACTCTAGAGTAATGGTGGATATGCAACGCTCCTATAGACCACTGGGTTCGGGTGTCTGTTCAGTGGCTGGTAGGGCCCGCTCGATGTGGATTCTTTCATGTTTTCAATAGATCTGTAATGACTGGGTCATTCTTTGTATTTACCGCTTCATCACCCTACGGCTCTACAATAATAACTGTGCAAATCTGGTGATCCTGTCAGGAGAGGCGGCCAAGCTTTGGTTCATCAGCAAAGAGTAATTTTGGATGCGTTGCGGGATGTAAAATTGGTCATATGATATATTATATTCATTGACAGATTGTCGCACGATCGGAAAGTCAACGGAAAGGGGGTAGGAAGCTCTTGAGGATATTAACATGGAGAGCACGTGGGGGCTTGCAGAAGAACATTATAATTTCCTTTTCCCAAATCTACCGTATTTTTGAAATTCCTACAGCCCCGGGGATTTTTTCCCCCCATCTTCAATATCGGTCAACGTTAGAGAGAACTCTGGGAAAGACGAGAGGAGATTTTTGAGATACTGTCGGGGGGAGGACTCATAACGTCAAACGTGGATATATTCGCAGTCATGTGGTGCCAATTCATGAATTCCATGATAACATTATTAAGGAATTGTGATTTAATTAGTTGGGGGGCTCGGGCGCATGACGTGAGAGAAGGGGATGGACAGAAGACACAACAAATGAACAGGAAGTAACAGGGCAATGAAGGGTTCATTCTGAAATCTCTTTTTCTATCAACACCTCTTCTTTTTCAGGTTTTGACTTGATTATTTTTTCTACTCATCCGGGGTCGAGAGAGAGGGATGGGCCGTTGTTATTATCACCGGAGGTACGGTGGGTCTGATGGTATCCGGGGAGATCAGATTTAGCTATTGCCTTTTCCAGCAAAGGGGAGACGACATGGTAGAGGCGTGGGCTTTGGATGCTCTATATATCTACTACCGCGGTCCGCGCAGGGCCTGACTGTTGGATATTAAGGTGCCAAGTGGCAGATTGGGACTGCCGTTCACAGTAGTAATGGGCGAGCGGGTGAAGGAACTGATCGGATGGACAACGGTGTTGGAATTGAGGAAGACGGACAGGATAAAACCGGTAGTAGTTGCAACGGTAATGACTGAAAGGCGGGTTTTACGCAGTGGATAGAGTTTGCTCTGATGGCGATGAGGGAACTTTGTATTGCGTGTGTGAACAATAGAGAAAGAGGAGTGAGGAGAGTTTCATACAAGAGGTGTGGAGTGGAGTTGGTTGACTTCTTGAGAAAGAAAGAAAAGAAAAGAAGGAAGGGAAATAGAGAGGAGAAAACTTTTCACTGCTTACGCGTCCTCATATGAGAGGTACGCACACCACCGTAGTTTCCAGCTACGGGGGTACTTAACTGCCATTTTCAACAAACGGCGATTTGGATATATCGAGTGATTGCATATGATTGTGAGGTTGTTACTTGAAGGTACAGTACACCGCTGCTGGCGTATGCTGTTTCGGTGTGTAGCGTCTTCCTTGCATACAAGCCTGGCGACTCAGTGGCGAGCCCATTCAAAATTTGGCAACTGGGAAAACACTTTTTAGACTACGGGGATGAATACCGCTCCTCTGGAACGGGGACGAGATGTACTGTACAGTACGCCAAAAAACACTAGGAATGATGCTTCAGGTTGTTTCAGAGCGGTGGTTTGGGAATTTTTCCCCTCGATCGGACGCTCCGTGTGCACTTGGGACGATACCAACGCTCTGTAAAAGTTGTCTGGTTCCCTGTGATTTTTGGAGCTGATAGACTATGGGGTAATCTATCTTTTCACTAAGTCGTGGCCTACTAGACGACCTATGATATTCTCAACACCCCCGCAAAACCCATAGGGTTTTGTAACCCCTGCTTACGTAAAGACAA